CGCTGTAGCTAGCACGCTCGCATCCTGCATGTGCCCTTTCAGATTCCAGAACTGCTTCAGCCCAACACCGCTCACATCGACGATGTTCGTGGACGAGACGATCGGCGTCTCGGGATGAGGGCGCGGTAGCTGAGAGCACAGGGGCATGACGAAGCGGAGGAGGTTCTCGTAGAGGGCGAAAAGGCGCAGCAGACGCTGCGGCACGGTCGAGGACTGATGCGTCTCTGCCGTCGAGGCGGGGTCGGCCATCGTGGAATTATAAGCGGCCATGTTCTTGCTGTTCAGATGCTTGATCTCGAACACATAAATGGGAATACCGCGCCGGTCCCGACGACCCGTCCACTGCGGATACTACATCCATACCGCGAACCAGGGTCAGCAACTTGTTCATCCACGGGCTCATTAAGCACAGGGCATAATAAATTCCCAAAACTCACCATCCGCCTCGCGGCATCGTACGAGTCCACGTCAATGTTCGCGTATAGCTCCTCGATGGCATTCTCCTTGCGCCAATCCTCCGTATCTTTGAACTGACCCCAAGCGCCATCCACATCGAACTTGCGCGCGCGCAGAAACCGCCTGTTTGTAACCCATCAGCATGCTATTCCTCCACAACACCCAACCCTAGAATCAACGAGAGATCGAAACACAGGGAAAACGAACAGCATAGTCGCATCATCATGACTGGCCTTCCCACCCTCACCCTGCCCCTCAGGCTTATAGTACCCATTCCGCTCACATAGCGCTTTAAACTCCTTCAGCTTCTCCTCCTGGTCCGGCGTAAGGTGATTCAAGTGGCCAGCGAGCCACGCCGTGCTTGCCGCCTGCGAAGCCGACGCAGCCGGGTCGTTCTCGATGTATTCGGCCGGTTGTATCGACGAGCCATCGCTCTCCGCCTGGCTGTGGGGGAATTGGTACGCCACAAAGGCATTCTGAAAGTCGGGTGCCTTGCGTGCGAGACTCCACTCGGTTTGTCTCTTTTTTTTGTTTTCTTTACCCCAAACTGATTAGATAAGATGCGCGAATATAAGAAAGCGAAAGCAAGGGTCGCGGGGGGATTCGGTGCTGACTAGTAAACAGCGCTTCGCTTCGTCTTACACCCCTCCGCGGCAAGCCCGGATGTCCTAAGAAAGGCGATAGTGTCGGATCGGCTAAAGTCCTCGCTGCGTCGGCAGTCCAAAGACCGTAGAATTCCAGTGGTGTACCGATGCTTGATGCGCAAATCCAGCAGCGAGAAGTGAGGCGGTTTTAAGAACCGAGAAGAGATCTTTTGCCCTGCTGGAACTCGTCGGAAAGAAGTTTGTTTGTTGTTCTGCATAAAGGGCGATTATGTCAGCATAAAAAAATGATTGATCGATTATGCAGTCAATGATCATCGAGAAGAACACTACGGATTGATCGACAAGCAGATCGGCACGCGTGAAGCAAGGTGGACGCATGATTGTATCAAATGCCTCATTTTGGTTATTCTTATTAGAACCTTTCCAGGGACATCCTATGCTGTATGCTAAGGGATATCATCAAGAAAATACAGAAGAATATGACTGGGCAAAAGCAGAACTGCCAATTTTTCTCAAAGGCATGGATGCATTTTACCTTGCCCGTAAATATACAATGGATCCGTTCTCCCAAGTTCCAAGTTTCAAAGGCAATCCCCTTGAGGGTGCCTATCACTTAGTCTTCGGTGAGGTCTCCATACTCCCACATGCCGCGTCTCTCCTGCTTAGCCTCGTCCTCGACACTGCGCAGGTTAGATAGAGTCTCGCTGGCAGCACGCTCCCAGGCCTTCAACTTCCGGGGAACCATGGCCAGACCCTCACGCACAATCTCGGCGTTGATGCTCTGGTCCAGGCTCTTCGATACGGAAGGGTCCAACAAGGTAACGTGCATCGTTCCGTCAGAAGCGACGTAGTCGACATTGGCGACCAATGTCCGGCCATACGTAAGTTCCTCAAGATAGCTGACGGCATCCTGGAGGTAATCGGCGGAGACGGGGAACTGCACGAAGGAGAGCACGGCGTCGGAGGCTTGAGCGCGGAGCTTCTGGATGGAGAACTGGGGCTGGCTCAGGGGTCGGAGGCGGGACCATGGGAGGATCTCAGAGTTACCATAGTCGATGTATACAACTTCTGCCTGCTGCTTTTCACGGTCGTTGCGACGCACCCTGGCACGGTACCAGTCGCCATCTTCAGTAAACTTGGCAGCCACATAATCACCGGCCTTGGGTGGGCCAGGGAGCGGAGTGTCATTGGCCTTGTTCAAGTGGAAAGAACGGAAGGCACTCATCAGCTCCGTCAGGGCAGAGGTGCCTGTGCCAATCTGCTGGATTTTGATCTTTCCGGATGCGGGATCGACATAGGTGACCATCACGTCCCGGTAGTCCTTACGACGCTCGGTAGCCTCCCCTTCTGCGCTGTTGCTACCATTGGCAGCCTCCTCTTCAGCTTCCTCGGCCTCCTTGCTTGGATCCCAGTCGTGCCACAGACCCTTCCGGGCCTCCTTTGCCTTCTGCTCCGCTGCAAAGTACTCGGTAGCGTGGCCGGACTGCTCTGCGGAGTAGGCATGGACCGTGGCCAGACCCTCCTCCAGAAGGACCTTGGCAAAGTCTTCCTTGTTGACGTACAGAGTGCCAATGAAGCCACCGACCTTGTCAATGGTTTCAACGTCGATCTCCACATCGCGTTGCATGCACCGCTTGTTCGCCAAGTCATGGGCTTCCTGGCCGAATGGTTCACCTGCTTCACCAGGATTGCGAGCTGAGCGGGGCGCACGAATACCGGACAAAACCAAGGTCAACTTGGCATTCTCTCGGGGCACAAGAACGGTAAAACGAGATCCTGACTTGACAAAGTCCACAATGGCGGGGACACGCTTCTGACGTTGCAGAATCGAAACTTCCATCTTAGCCTTCTGCAAGCTCTCGGAGTAGTCCTGGTACTGCTTGGGCTTAGCCGGCTTGGGAGACCACATTCCCTTTCCGTCCTTCTGAGCTTCCGCCTCGGCGATAAGCAGGGAGTCATAGTCAGGGGAGCGATCCTCGTCGTCCTGGCGGTGACGAATGACCGAAGCATAACCAGCCTCCACAAGCGCGAGAGCGATGTTGGTGTTGCCCTGAATCACTGTTGCGACGTCCCTCTCCTCGTAGCCCTCATTCGCAGGCTTCTTGCCGTTGATTGTGACCTTGACGTGCTTGCCAATGAGCCTCTTGCGCACAAACTCCTTGGCATCCGCCTGGAAAGGTGCCTGCTTAGGATCGGACGGCTTGGGCTGTCTGACACTGCTCAGACTGATCTTCTTCTCCTCACCGGCCTTGTTGCGGAGGATCAGAGTGTCTGCGTTCAGCACTCGGCTGACAATGTAATCCTGATCGGCGGCCCCGCCAGCAGGACCCTTCGCGACGAGTCCAGCAAACATGCCTTTCCTGTTATCCTTGGCCTCCTTCTCCGCGCGCCGGAACGCTGCCATTTCGGCTCCGAGCAACGTTGAGTGGTGGTCGAAGCAGCGGGCAAGGCCGGCTTCCAGGAGGAACTTGGCGATATTGCCATTGGGGTGGAGGACAGTGGCGATCAGTTGTCCCTGGGGAGTGACGCCGAGAAGGGACACCTGAACCTTGCGCTGCAGAAGCCGCGCCTCGACGAACTGGTATGCCTCGTCCCCGAAGGGTTCGCCAGGCTGCTCCTTGCCCTCAGCATTGACCCGTTTCGCGGCCGGGGCCCGAACTCCCGCAACAGCAACGACCGTCTGCAAATGTTCCTCGGGCGACAAAAGCAGGCGGAGTACTAGCCTGTCTCCGTTCAAAACTCTCTCGACAATGGCCTCCAGGTGCTTGTCCTTCCACTCATCAACCAGGCCTTTTGCGTCGTCGACCTCGTAGCTAGTCTCTGTACGGCCCTTATCCGCTCCGGCCCACATACCCTTGCCTTCGGTACGGGCGTGGTCCTCCAGAGCGCGGAGTCGCTCCAGATATGCGAGTGTCTCTTCGGATTCGTCGCTGCGTTTGCCGGCCTCTTCACGGACGCGGGTCCATCCTTCTTGCACACTGATATCGGGCAGGGAGGCGTCAAAGCCGGGGAGCTTGATTGTGCCGTAGTCACGCTTGGCGCCAGTAGGGATTGTGTAGAGGACCTGGAACTGGATTACTTTACCCACGAGGACCTCGCGGAGGAATTCCCGGGAGTGGAAGCCGTAGGGCTAGAGATAAGTCAGTGACAATTCGGAATAGCAGTTCAATCAAAGAGCATAAGACATTTCTGAAGGGCTATGGGTAGAAGAAATGTGCCAATTGGGTTTGCTGGAGCTGGAATGGGCGGAGATTAGAGGCCACCTATCCAGACCCCAGAAGGATGGGATTTCAAAAGCAACAAAGCGAGGTAGAGCAATTCAAATCTCAGAAATCTAGAAACTCACCTCATCGCCTTCTCTCCTCAGTCTAGGAGCTGAGACATATGCAAGACTAAGGGTGCGTTCCTGTCCAGGGTTCGTGACATGGGACAGGACAACAGTGTCGCCCGACAGGACAGATTTCACGCGGGCTTCCAGAGGCATGCTGAGGAAGCCACAGAAGACTTGGGACAATAAGGGATTGACGGGGAAGGGGGAGAAGAGATTGTTGCAGCAACAATCAATTGCTTCAAAGAATTTTGAATGGTATAATTAGAAGAACAAAAAAAGCAAAGACACAAGAGAGTGATGGGGAGATAAGGTCGAGGTGAACTCATGAGGAGAGCTTCCAGTTTGGGGCCACCTGACTTTCTGTGGGGGAAGCCGCTAACAGTCTGTCTGGCCAGGGGTATGTAGTCCCCGTTGGCGATACTGATAGGTGTCATTCAACTAAAGTATGTAAGGAGATTATTTTAGAACAATTTTTAAATAGATCTTGGATCATCAATTGACAAGTGAATTAATAGCTATATTTGCGGCAACTATTTCATCATAAAAGCACATCAATTCGTGAATGCTATTCAGCACCTAAACCTGAACAGCCGTGAGTTCAGAACAGACCCCTTTCTTGGATAGTTTCCTCTGGTACTCGAACAAATATCATTCTGTTACTTATTCCCAGTCTGAAGACGATCCAAGCACTTTTATGCTAATCAAAGTTGATTGGCGCTTAAGCAGCGATACCAATGACGCCTATTGAAAGAGCCGACAAGTTAACGCATGTCAACCTTTGTCTATGGACTGAGAGGTACTTACCACAGGCAGGACGAGCACCAGCGTTACCAGTCTTCTTGGACTCCTCATTGCCACCCTTGCCAAGGTCGTCGGTACCGGCGTGAACGACCAGGGTCCGCTAACATTGTTGTCAGCTCACTGTCAAATCCATGCATCACCGTCCCCAAAAACTTACGCCCAGAACGCTCTCAGCACCAATCAGCTTAATAAGCTTGTCCTGCTTGGAGCCGACGGCGTTACCCTCGGCATCGGTCTCGAAGTTACCAAGGTCACCGACGTGGCGCTCGGAGTCCTCGGGAGCTCCATGGGTCTTGCCAAAGGGGTTGACTGAACGTCGGTCAGTTCTGGTGTTGGTAGAAACCACGGATAAGAGGACCTACAGTGAGGACCAGCGGAGGTACAGCCGTTGGTGTTGTCACCGAACTGGTGGACGTGGAAGCCACGCTTGGCGTTGGGGTCGTTGCCCTTGATGTTCCAGGAAACGGTGGTGGGAGAGTTCTCGTCGGCCTGCTCGAAGGTGACAGTGCCGGTGATCTTGGAGTCACCACGGACGACAGCAACTGAGAAGGAAGTTAGTCATCCTGCAAAAGGTAGGAACGGCAACAAAAGTACGAAAAGCTTCCAGAAAACGGCAGAAGCTCGCTTGGTTCGCTCATCTGCAATGGCTGGGGCGTAACTCCATGGATACTGGTTGCATCAGATAAGGTAGAGCCCGTCCATAGCTTCCCAACTCCCACTAGCCATGTAGACCAGAGCAAGACAGCAGGCATAGGAAGTAGCAGCATCCATTGTCTATCAGGAGCAGCCAGTACGCTTGATTACCCCAGAGTTGGGATCCAACGATGACGGATGATAGGCCAGGAAGCTGGCGAGGCTGGATCGCAAGGTGCTCAAATGTGCTCACTCAAGGTCCCCGGCCACGGTCGATCGTGGATCCCAACGACAGGGAGAAACCAATGAAAAACAGGAAAGGCAATACAAAATAAGCATAAGTCACCTACCAGCCTTGACCATTTTGACGGTTTGAATCGTGTCTTGTGAAATATGACTTGAACAGAGATTCGAGGAGAGTTGATGGCAGAGATGACGATGGAAGAAGGACGAGGAGAAATCGAGAGGCAAACCTTGGGACGAGGGTAATTTCTACTACTAAATAACGACCTAGGTTAGGATAGATAGCAGTCCTATTAGCTACGACCTTACAAGATACACTCCTTATTCGATAGGTTTCCAATCGGTCCAATTTCGTCTGCTTTCCATCCATGACCCATTCGCCTCGACTGCCCCTCCTCATTGGGGCCCTTGGGAGCTGTTGGCCTCTCAAAAAGCGAAGAATGGTTACCCCACCTGTGCTGGCGGGGTCGTCGGAATGACGTTTGTTGTGTATTATCGTGTCAAGAGCATGGATAAGTAGGTAACTCTTCATGTAATCGACGATTGGACAGCTCAGTTTCGGAACTCTGGCTATGTACTGTATTGTACCACGTACCAAATATCATTCTTTCAAGTGATCGATTCATAAGCCGTTCGGTCTCGACTGCGGATACAAAGACCTCCTCAGTCCGAGCTGAGGCAAGAGCTGCAGATCCGCGGAAAAGGCTGCCATACTAAACCCGTAATCCCGTAATCATCATTTGTAAGCTAAGCAACAAGCTGTGCGACACAGTATCTAAGTAATGACCGAAGCTAGATAATTCAAGTATCTCGATTGTGTTTTGTTTGTACGGCATTCGTGACTATGAGCTTCAGATATAAGCACGAAGATCATCTAATAATCTCAGCCGTCCTTTGAGTGAAGAGGTGGTTCAACCCCAGATGACGTACCTCGGGTATTGTACACCAATTGTTTTCCGACCATGCTTCTTCGGCCTAATATTCCAACCTGTTCCTTCGATTAAGCCTACGTAGCAACTAAAAAGTTACCAGGAAGATTGATATAAAAAATATATGCCACGCCATTTCAAATGATGTGGAGAATTCATTACATGATTCATTCATATCTACGAGGCCAATTTTTCATGCCGCCAATTTTAACAAAGAAAGACATTAGCAGGAAAAGAAACAGAATTCAACAGCAAGACAGATCAAGGCAATTTCCCAATCTAAGCCTGGATCTTCTGCTTGAGGAGCTCCTTGAGGGTGACGGCGTCAGCCGCGAACTTAGAGATACCCTCGCGCAGCTTCTCGACGGCCATAGCCTCCTCGTTGAAGTCGAAGCGGAAGGTAGCCTCGTCGTTGAGGTAGCTGCGCTTGGGGATGTCCAGGCTAGCGGCGTTGGCGGCGTCGAGCTTCTTGGGGACAGAGGCTGTCGAGTTGTAAAGCTCCTCGAGGAGGTTGGGCTACACCTCTAGGTTAGTTTTGGTCCGGCGACGATCAAGACGGACAACATACCGAGATGGTCAGGTAGTCACAGCCAGCCAACTCTGTGATCTCACCGGTGTTACGGAAGGAGGCTCCCATGACGATGGTCTTGTAGCCATACTTCTTGTAGTAGTTGAAAATGCTCTGAACGGACTTGACACCGGGATCCTCCTCGGCGCTGTAGTCGCGCTTGTGCGCAGCCTTGTACCAGTCCAGGATACGGCCGACGAAGGGGGAGATGAGGAAAGCACCGGCCTCAGCAGCAGCAATGGCCTGGACAAGGGAGAACATGAGGGTCAGGTTGCAGTTGATGCCGTGCTGAGACTGCAGGATGTGGGCGGCCTTGATACCCTCCCAGGTGGAGGCGATCTTGATAAGGATACGGTCCTTGGAGATGCCTTGTTGCTCGTAGAGCTGCACGAGTCAGCTATGTCTCGTCATCTGCTGATTCGGTCAGGTCTGGCGTACCTTGATGATGTGAAGGGCCTTGTCGACGGAAGCCTGGGTGTCGAAGGACCAACGAGCATCGACCTCAGTGGAGACCTTGCCGGGGATGATCTCGAGGATCTTCTTGCCGAACTCAACGAGAAGGTTGTCGAGGGTAGCGTCGACCTGCTCATCAAGAGTCTTGCCCTGTCGGGGGATCAGTAACAGATCAATATCACGCGGCTTGTAACAGAGTGACGGACCTCCCTCTTGCCCTTCTGGACGGCAGCGTCGATCAGGCTGGCGTACTCGGGCTTCTTAGAAGCAGCCAGGATCAAGGAGGGGTTGGTGGTAGCATCCTGAGGCTTGTACTTGCCAATGGCTGCAGAGTAGTCAATATCGGGATCGAGGCTGAGCAATATTAACGGACGAAGGAAACATACTGGCAAAGTCACCTGGATAGATGCGCTATTAGCTATATTCTTGCAGCCATATATCCGCAATTATAGATAGAACTCACCAGAGTCACAGACAACAACCTGCATAGACGGTAGACCTAGTGATTAGCGATCCCATCCTGATGTGGCGCAAAAAAAGCCACGAAATAATTGACTCTGGACTTACGGTGCCAGTGGCCTTGAGCTGTTCGAGAGCGGAAGACATTGTGATGTAATGTGAGGAAGACAGACAAGCTAATCAAACACAGGATAGATTGAATCTGTATGTGAAAGCGTTAGAGATGATAGATGGGGAGAAAGATATAAATTGATTGAAGGGAAGAGGATCGAAGATGGAAGACGTGGCGAAAGGAGAATTGAAGTACTTACTAACTCGGAGGAGGGGGGTGGAAGATTGGCGGGCGAGAGACTTCCGCTGGTAAGGAGCGATGAATCTATGGAAATGGAGCATTGGATAATTGGTGGGATGGTGGGGGTTATGACGGTATACCTCATGGCTGACATGATTCTTCACATATAACCGGTCGGCTTCCATCATAACCGTCTATCTACCTCTTTAGATACCACGTATTTTCCTCCCTCTCTTCAACACAGACGAATTAGCCGATCTACAAGCGCTCTCATCCATCCGTTGTCATCAAAAATTATCCTACTTTCACCGTTGTTTTCCCTTCTCGAACCAGGTGTTTTCTCGGTGCAGAGTACTCCGATGTCCCGATAGCTCACTGTCGCTCCACTCATTGCTCCCAACTGGGCCATGCTCCAATAATAGTCTGTGGTTAGGTGCCCTTTTCCTTCACCGAAAGCTAATGGCAAACTAAATCACGGTTAAACAACTTTTGTTTTCCCCTCATAAACAAAATAGCCGCCGCATGCCTCCCGTCTATATATACGTGCTTTTTGATACTATATACATACGGTACAGTCACCCCTCCTCGATGTAGGCCAACCCGCTCAAGGCGATTTGCAACTCGAGAGTAGATGACAGCGAACGACAAGATCGCTGTCGCAAAGCAATTATCTAGACTACCTCTTTACTCCTGGCGAAGATCTTCAACGGCGTTGGACGCAATTCCACTCGTACTGGTTCAGAGATAAGCATATTGTGTCATAGCATAGAGACTGATGAACGACTTACCACTCTTCCAGCTTCATCGCCTGTGTACACCACGTGAGGAAGGGTCAGAATGCAGCTGATTCCCGCCGAGATATTGGCTCCATTGTCCCGATTGTTGTCAATATGATGGAGTTGCCGAATGAGTTCCAACTCGAAACGTCCGTCCCGAATAATCTTGTTCCATATCTTGAGCTTGCACGTTAGCCTTCAACCCGAAGGGAGGGAAAGGACAGTCTTCGAAAAGAGTCAGGGCATCTCACATTGACAACCCCCTTTCTATGACCTGTGAAGATGAGCTCGCGTTCTTGCCACTCATTATCCACGCCTTCGTAGAACACGCAGGACATGACACGATCGTCAATCGATTCACACACGTCTTGGTCGAGCAACAGCGCTCCGTTCAGCGTATAGATACTGATGCGGTTTCCACGGCACACCATAATCTCGCCCGTTACATCATTTATCCGGGCACACTGGGCTGAGGTCAACCTTTGTCGGAAACAGCAGGATTGCTTTATTAATGGACGGGCATCACTTACGTCAACTGGGCCGCTAGCTGGGAGTTCTCGGACAAAAGTATGCTGATTGAGATCCCAGAGCATGATCTGGCCATCTGTGGAGGCGGAAAGCAGGGCGCTGAACGAGCGAGAGGCGGTGAGAACATTGACAGGAGTACGATGTCCAAAAAGTGATCCTGCGGGCTGCAAGTCCACAGATTTGGCAGTTGAGTTATATGTCCAGATCGATACAACGCAGTCTGTGCCTGAGGTGACCAATGTCCGAGAGTCTGCGAAAATTGTACAGGACAATTGCCCAATATGCAAATGCTCGAAATGACCAAGAATCTGTGCTTGTTAGTATACACCTGTGACAGCTTAAGTGAGTAGCATGCGTATAGTTACCTTCCGGCTGTCCGCAGAGTAGAACCGAACACTTCCATCAAAAAATCCCCATTCCATATATTTGTCGTAGTTGGGAGGGATATTCAGTCTGAGCGGAGCGGCACAAAGCAAGCGGTCATGCTTCATCGAAAAGGTCGAAACTTGTTCTCCGATATCTTTATCCATCATTAGCGCCCAAGGCCAGAACCGCAACAGACCAGGAGCCTTACCTAGCAGGGAGAGAGGAAGCTGTGTAAGCGATTCAGCTAGGCGGTCGAGTCGTGGAACTTTATGTCGTGTATCTTCTCTCTGAGGGTGCGGTCGAGTGAAAATTTGGTGCGGTGTCTGGCCAAAATTGTGTATGATACCAATTGTGGCCAGCCGTTCCACAGGGTCATCGATGTTATCAATATCTTTCGCCCCTTGGTACGAAAGATGATGGAAGACGTTGACCGCCTCAATTGCGGCCTCTCCTTTCTGCTTACAGCCAAAAACGAGATCAATCCAATGATGCAAATTCTCAGTTACATAAGGACTTTCCAGCGCTTCGCGATGCTTTGCGATGAAGATCTTCGGGTCGCCCTTGGCCCACGGCGGCAATTCCACCGAATCGATAGCTGTTGTCATGTTCTGAAGAAGACCGAAGTCGTACTTGTTGGAGTTGACGAGAAATTCTGGAAGATAGAAGAACTCGGGGGTCAATTCTCTGACATCAGACATGTTGCCACGGGAGGCCGATTCCCACGCTTTCCCAATGGAATAGAAGAGACGGTCAGCGTGATCGAATGTTCCACCCTGGAGGAGGAGATATGATTTTACGAAAGGCTGCAAGCGAATGAGATACGAGCAGACAATCATCGCCGACGAATAGTGCGTTCCATAATGGAATGGCGGAGCGTCCCCGTCGCCCATTTCTGCAAAAGCCTTGTACCGCTCCCTGAACTCGGCCTCCCGCTCTAGTGTCTGGCATCCCATAGGTTTTGACAGGTCACGAAAAGCTTTGGGGTCTGTCAAGTCCAATTCCTCGCTAGTGTAATCTGCCAGCACCCACGGGAAAACTGGGTACTGTGTCAGATCGTTAAACGTCCTTCCGGCGAGCGTGTTGATCAGCATGAGATAATGGAAGTTGGATATTTCGCCCTTGATCCATTTCCGTGTGGCTGGGTGCACAGGCGAATGACCGAAGACACTGGCAAATTTGGAACCGAGGGACTGCGGCGCATCCTCCTGGCTTCGAAGGGTTTCAAATCTCCACACGTCTTCCGGCCGCGAGTGGCCAGCACTACCGGGCACTTGCGGAGCCTTGCTCGCGAGCTGGCTGCATAGATTATCTCGGGCTCGAGAAGAGATCAACGTCAGCAGGTAGCTGGTACCGTCAGTGAAGAAGACCTCGAGAGCGACATCACGGAAAAGGAATCGTCTTTTGGAAACGCTGACCAAATCGGACCATTTCCAGCTTCTGGTCTCGTGTTCCTGTGTCCTACGCTCAAAGGATTCTCTGCCGGCAATCATGCGAACGTAGGGATCACGCTCATCCGGTGGTGCTTGCCAGACGTTCACTATCTCACCATCGGATCTTTGAAAGAAATTATCCAAGATATAGATGTGATCTTTGCCAAGAATCAACAGGCCCTCGCATGCTTCCAAGCCAATAATTCTAGACATATTGCATACATTTTCGACCTGGTCGCCCCGATGGAGACTTCGCATAACCTTTCTGTTTTTATCTTCATAGTCTTCGAGATCAGCTTTAGGGTCATCGATCATCTCGAAGCTCTCTTCCAGGACACTTCTACTGTCCGAGTGGGCATCCTGCTGATTGTCGTCCATATTCTCTGCGGCCAAGACCGTAGGTGTCAAGCCCGTTGTATTACCGTTGGGTGATGGTTGCACCTGGGTGTCGATTTTGATAGCTGGGGGTTCCGATGCTTTCCGTTTCGGTTGATAATCTTGACGTTCTCCCGACTCATCCGGAACCATGCGAAGTCGCATACGGCTTCGTCCTTCAGTCTGGTCTAGGCGCCATTTCCTATCTTTGTCTTCTGCAAGCACTCCTCCAAACCGCTTTAGATCCATGGTCATGTGAGAGAATGCGGTCCACATGAATACTGAGTTATCCTGCTGATCCTGCAGCGCTCGTTGATATTTCAGGAACTCAGACGCCGATATGTTTGAGACCCAATGGGGGAAGGTTGTCTCGTGTTTACGTGTCACTTCTTCACTGAGTCTTTCTAATTGATTCCAGTGTCGCAATTTCTCCTGGCGCTTGGAGGCTCTTGCACGGGTTGAAGAGTCAATGTTGGAGCTCTCTTCTTGGACGAAAATATCCCATGACCTAGACAGCAACCCGAGAAACATTGCATTGAGATCGTCTTGATGACCATCGACCCACTGTAGGAAATCTTTGTCCTCCATACCTACAAGGGCTTCAAAGCCATCAGAGAGCCGTTTCTGCAAGGGAATGGCCGCCTGACTCAAAATAGCAGACATCTCAGCGGGCTTTTGCACGAGAATGACTCTCCACAAGCCCGCTGCAGCAAGGCGAACGTCCCAATCTTGGCTGATCAGTTTTGTGTAGAGAAGGTAGCACAATAGCCGCAGATAATCCGATTGCACTTCACCTTCAGAAAGCAGGACCACTTGCCAGTAGCTCAAACGATTCAAGAACTCACAGGCCTCTCTGTCATCCACTTCTGATAATTTGAGCAGAACAACACGGAACAGAGTGGACCGTATGGTTGTGACCGCTTGACTACAGAGCCTTACACTCTTCAGGCTTGAAACATTCGACTGCTGGAGATATTCCAGGATTGTGCCTGCAAATTCGAGAGCGTGAGTTGCGCCGTCAATGAACCAGCCCTCATATACTGCTTCTCCAATATGGGTAGCAAAACGTCCCATGTTAGAAAGCGCTCGCGGTTCCAGAAGAACTTGCGGTTTAGAGATTGTAACATCTCGCAGTCTGGAAAGGAGGCTCCGCAATATCCAGGAGTTGAAATACGCTTGTTGCTCCAGAGTGCTCGTCGGCGTCTTGAGGTATAAACCAAGTCCAGCAAAATCCTTTCGCTCCAGCAATTGATCGCAGAACACAGATAGAACTAGACTTAGAATTGCTTGCACAAGAGGATGGTCTGTAGCTGTCATGTCAGGTGAAGACCCGAGCGGTATGAGAGCTTTGTGTATACGTGCAAAGGAAGGCGAGAACTTGGTTCTATCTGATGAGACGAGGATGAAAGATGATCCGCGTCGCAATGGACCAGCCTGTCTTTCACGACTGCTAGACCCTTCAACTGTTGTGGTGTGCAATCCTGCTGTTCCACTTGAACGCGGTCGAACAGGTAAAGTATGATCATGAGAATTGGTTTTAGCAGCACGAGACTTGAGTTCAAAGTCTGTGCTTGA